CACGCACCTTGCCTCGGTTCCTTGCACAGGACTTTTGCCCCACCGAAGTCACTTCACCTACACGTGGAAGCTTCTTCCCTCCCTCCACCACCTGTGCCTTGATAACCCATTCTTCGCTTCTGGGTTTCGGTATAAACATCACTGCCTCTAGAAGTCTACCCTGATTCCATTAAGTCTGAATTAAAAACCCCTTAAGTGGTTCCTCACGACCTAAGCTCCCCCTATCACCGCAAGTATAACATTGAATTAAAGTCCCCTGCTTGTTCATCTAGCACCTTGCCTATACTGTGAGCGCCCTGAGAACAAGTCTGTGTTTTCAGCACCATGATCATCAGAATCTAAGCACAGTGGTTGAAACATAGTGTGCACATATATATGTATGTGTGTGTGTATATATATATTTATTTTTACATATATTATATATATATATTTTTTTACAGTATGGATGGATTTTATGGATTTTACCATAAGATGTGATGGGAAAACTTGAACGGACTTTTTGGCCTACCCAATATATGTATACATGCATGTGTACACATGTGTATATATATATATGTATGTATATATAAACATACTCTATACACATACACATACATATACATACTACACACACACACACATACACACACACACATATATATATATATAATTTTTCTGTAACATCTTACAGAAAAATCCAAATGAACTTTTTGGCCAACCCAATATATGTGCTCAAAAAAATGTATATATATGGCAACCCACTCTGGTATTCTTACCTGGGAAATCCTATGAACAGAGGAGCCTCGAAGGCCACAGCCCATGGGGTTGCAAACAGTCGGAGACAACTTAGCAACTAAACCATCACCACATACATACATGTGCTCAAAAAATGCTAATGAGTTCATATTTAGCACCCAGAACTAGATACAATTGTTCTAAATGTGGTCTGCATAACACATATTAGAGTGACAATTGCCTTACACGTTCTATATTCCACACTTCTTTTAATAAAACCTAACATTATTTTAGCAGAAAACTTCATGATTGATTTCACTGTCCATTTAAGTCCCTACACCGTAAGTATATGAAGCCACCACTTCTGACTTTAACTTTCCCTCTTCTGTGCTCAAATGCACTCCCTCTCTGTGTCACACACACAATAATGTGCAAATGACTTTGGGCACACAAAATACATTTTTCACCTATTTTTGCACACTCCTTCCAAAGATAAAATATCAAAGTGTACTACAACGCATTGCTAACTCCTGGATCCCTAATCCTTAATTAAGCCTTGTCTCTTGAGCAAACGTGAGTAGTGTGCTATGCCTTCACGGATATTAATAATATTGAATAAAGCAGGAGTGGAGATGGACCCCAGGAGCACACCTTCTAAAGAGGTCCATCTGCCGATCAGCTATGCTTTAGTGAATGTGTTCTGACGGTCATTGATCCAGCCCACACGCATGCTTCTAACACGGGAGCACGTCATGAGATCTGGGCCCTTCCTAAAATCACAGTTTTTGAGTTGACTAGGTAAACTGAGTATAATTATGTTCCAGATGTCAATCCTTTCATAAACTTTGTTTTAGTTATCCTTTTTTAATAGATAATAAAATGGTCGCTCAGAGAGAAAGTCAAGCAGCTCACAAGTGCTCGAGCAGGGACATGACCCCCAGTGATTCGACTGCAAGTTCAATGGCACCCAGTCCACTGGGACCCTCCCAAAAGAGAAAATGTGTGTTCTTGGACTGAAGTGGGCTCCTGGTGATCACCGCCTACTCTCCCAAATGCCTGCTGAATGAATAACATCTTTGATTAGAGATTCTGAACCTGAGGTTCATGACCATGCCAGGGGGCCCAAGAGAAGTCTTGGACGAACCTCCTGAAAGTTTACAAAAAGCACCATATGGTGTATATGATACATTTTTTTCTAAAAAGTAATGTATATTTGAATTTCACAGTAATGTACTGGGTCTCCAAACAGTTCAAAGTACAATTTGCAGTTTAAATAGCTCCCTTTTAGAACGTCACCGTCACTCTCTATAGAATTCTGAATGCACATATTTCTTTAGAAAATCAAACTGAAGTTTTTCATCTCTAGTCTCCAAAGCCTCCATCACTCTAGCAGGCCTCAGACATCTCCTCTGCTGGTCCCTTCAGAGCCTTGTTTCTGGTGTCAAAACATGCCAGCTTGATTCTTTGATGTCAGTTTATCAAAGGGCTCTCTCAGAGGCCCACCTTGAGACTCCTCTGGCCGTTCCAGGGCTGGAACGTTGAGCTTCTAATGCAGGGGGCACAGATTCGATCCCCGGTCAGGGAGCTAAAACCCTACAAGCTGCGCAGCTGAAACAACAAAAGAAGGCCACCTCACTTGGGTTATCTCAAACACCCTGACAGGCTACAGCTTCACTTGTTAAATACTGGAAGACTGTGCCTGGCCCTGGTCATCAGGGTTGACGTTCATTCTTCATTCTTTATGTGTTGTATTATACACTGTATCTCTGTCATCTTATTCAACGCCTGAAGATCACTGCCACTGATCAGAATCGTACAAGAATTCACATAAACGCATTGCACGTCCCCCCGGGTCCAGAGGACAGGCTCAAAGGACGCGAGGACAGACAGAGCTGATCCTGCCCTCGAAGAGCCCACGGACCAGTGGAGGACGGCCAAGCAAGCAGAGACTTGCAGCAAGAACGGTAAGTGCTCTGACGGAAGAGAAGAGGAAACTCCGGGAGAGAAGGAAAGGACCACCCACCCTGCTGCAGGATAAGGAGCTGATGGCCTGGGCGGTCTCCAGGAGAGGGGCTGCCAGCCAAGTCTAAGAAAAAACGTAAGTCAGACCAGGCCCAAGAGAAGGACACGGAGGAAAGTCAGGGTGAGGAACAGCTTCACATGCCTGAATTTACACACTGCATGCATATGGTGCGCATCAAACGTGCATCACACGTGCAGAGGGAGTGGGTAACTGCCAAGAGATCACACTGAAGACAGAGGTGAAGGGCAAGTCCAGAGCTCCCGTGTACGTCAACACTGTTCTCAAAAGGAAAAACCAGGAACCCACTGCGCACTCTTCCAAAAAGCACTGCATTTTAGAAAGACCATTTGATACAGGACAGTGACAAGACAGGGCGCCTGGGGGTGGGGAGTACTGGTCTCAAATGAGACTCACAGAAAGCTGGGACCAGAGTCAACGTGGGGCAAACAGTGGGAGCTGGCCTGGAGACACCGGCAAGTGGGCAAAACCCATGAAGCAGGGAGGGGGACGGGACTTGGGGCCTGACCAGCATCATCAATGAAAGGGGACGATGGCTCTGTCCGGGGTGACTGGCCTGTGTGGCTCGGACGACCAGGGACCCCATTTTAGCGGAGGACAATGGCGGAGGAGCGGGCCTAGGAGGGGAGGGGAGGAGATGCTCAGTCTGAACTAGTGGACTTGAAGGGGCTCTGTGAGACCACAGAGCGGAGAGGTGCGGTAGAGAAGGGTGGGATTTAGGAGAAAGGCCCAAACAGGCTGCAGATGTGTATGGAGCGGGGGAGGCACCAGGGTGGATGAGGTATCCCAGGGAGGCCGCGGGGAAGCCAGAGGGCAGAGGGACACACCAACGCTGCTGAAGGGAGGCAGTCAATGGGACCGCAAGGGAGGCAGGTCAGAGGGGCCAGGAGGCCGGCATCGGACTCCAGGACAGTACACGCATCAGAGCGAGGGTGAGCAACCGCTCACAGTGACACGGAGAAGGCCTGGGGAAGGCTGAAGGCCACAGACTGCACGGTGGAGCTCCCAGAGGCCTCTGGCACCCCGGCCAAGCTTCGTCCTCAGAGCAGAGCAGAGGCGCCTCCACACCGCCTGGGCCAGTGGTTCAGGAGCCCTGAGAGACACAGGTTCGAGCCCGGGGTGGGGAAGACGCCCTGGAGGAGGACACGCCACCACTCCCGTGCTCTCGCCTGGAGAATCCCTGGGCAGAAAGGCCTGGCGAGCTGCGGTCCATGGGGTCTCAAAGATGCTGACCGACTGAGCGACTTAGCACAGGAGAACATGGAGATGGTGAGCGTCACCCGCTCTTCAAGAAGTTAGGTGGGAGAGACATGGGAAAGCGGCGGAGAGCAGGCGCGGAAACGCAACTAACACCTACTGGCTGAGGAGAGGAGGCGCGGAAACGCGACAGACACCAACTGACTGAGGTGAGGAAGCGCGGAAACTCACAAACACCTAGTGACTGAGGTGAGGAAGCGCAGAAACCCGACAAACACCTAGTAGCTGAGGTGAGGAAGCGGAAACGCGACAGACACCTACTGACTGAGGTGAGGAGGCCCTGAAACTCGACATACACCTACTGACTGAGGTGAGGAGGCGCGGAAACTCGACAAACACCTAGTAGCTGAGGTGAGGAAGCGGAAACGCGACAGACACCTACTGACTGAGGTGAGGAGGCGCGGAAACTCGACAAACACCTAGTAGCTGAGGTGAGGAAGCGCGGAAACGTGACAGACACCTACTGGCTGAGGTGAGGAAGCGCGGAAACTCACAAACACCTAGTAGCTGAGGTGAGGAAGCGCGGAAACGTGACAGACACCTACTGGCTGAGGTGAGGAAGCGCGGAAACTCACAAACACCTAGTAGCTGAGGTGAGGAAGCGCGGAAACGTGACAGACACCTACTGGCTGAGGTGAGGAAGCGCGGAAACTCACAAACACCTAGTAGCTGAGGTGAGGAAGCGCGGAAACGTGACAGACACCTACTGGCTGAGGTGAGGAAGCGCGGAAACTCACAAACACCTAGTAGCTGAGGTGAGGAAGCGCGGAAACGTGACAGACACCTACTGGCTGAGGTGAGGAAGCNCGGGGCCGCCGTCCCGGGGCCCCGGCGCCCATTGGAAGCCGGCCTCCGGCAGGACGCGCGCAAGACCTTTGCCTGGAGCGGCCCCGGGGGCGCAGACGGGGCGTCCGGGGGCCGCCGCCCCCACCCCGCCGCGCCGGGTTAACGTTCGTCTTTCAGGGAGACTCCATGGGGTCTGACTTGCCATTGCTCCTGCATCCGGCCCCGGCCTCTCCCCGGGGTTTCCTGCCGCGCGGTTGGTGAGTTCCCTGAATTAGCATTTCCAGGTTAAACGCGGGCAGTGCCTCCTATAAAGTCCTCTCACACTCCGGGAAATAATACCCCCAATTTCTCCCCCTGAAGCTTGCAACAGTTGACAAAGACCTTTGGACAATCAGTCTGTCATTTGACCTCCCAAACAATGCCAGGAAGGCTCTCCTACGACTACCATTCTACACAGAATGAAAAAGCAGCTCCAGAAAAATAAGATATTTACCCAATCACCCAACCAGAAAGTGAAATCTGCTGGGGTTTTTCAACCACATCCTGGGTGCACCCACAAAGCACCCACCTCCCTGCTGAGTGACCCACCCCACTAACTGAATTACAACACAGAAGCACCTACATAGTGATAATGTGTAATAACATAGAGCAAAGATAACTATTCTAATTTTTGGATTATAAAAGTGTTAGGAAGTGTTAAAAAAAAGTGTTAAAAGTTAAGGATGTCCACAGATACCTTGAGTTCATAGACTACATTGTTTTATTGTCTGATTTCTCCTCTTTGCCAACTGCTAAAAGGATGCTGCGAGAAGCAGACTGGCCACTCTGAAGTGCTGGAACAAGCCCAGGGATTCCTGAGGCTGCTCTGAGTCCATCCCTGGTCTTGGTCAGAGTCTTTTCCCCTCCTTTTTCTGGACACTTCCAGATGGTGAAATACTGAATGAAAGGGGAAAGGGCTGTGAGACTGTAAAGAGAGCCCTGAACAAGGAGTCAGTGTACCAGAATTTTAGTGCGAGGAGGACAGCTGTGGTGCGGGTCTGCAGAGATGCTCTGGAGACAGCTGGTCTGGAAAGTGGCATCACTCTGATTTTTCCACTGAGACAAGGGGAGAGGGGCTGATACTCACACTCAGTCTGGAAGGACTGGAAGGTTTCGGCCAGGAGAAGAGGAAGAAGGACATCACTGACCCGGACAGCATCATGTCCAAAGGCTGTCCTGAGGCCTTTCTGAAAATAGTTCCTGCAGGCGAGAACAGAGGGCGTGGGAGGCTGTGACTGAGGGGAGGGTGTGGTTTGGACTCTGATCTTCTGTGTCTCTTGAGGGGATTTGGACTTCATCCTGCCGTGCCTGATGGGTTACTATAACTGGCTCAGGTTACCAGCTCTTAACAAGAGGGTGCAGGAGTCATAGACTATTCTACAGCAAGAAATGTGTATCTGTCTGGTGGTTGTGGGCATTGGCGTCATCAGACAGATACAGTTTCTTCCTTTTCCTAGCTATAAACTGCAAGAAATATATTTAACCTCACTAAGCCTCAGTTTTCTCATCAGTAAAATGGGGATTATGGTATGTGCTATGAGAATTAAATAACTATGTAGGTCAAACCCTTTGCCTTTCTTCTGACAGTGACAAGTAGCTACTGTTATCCTTACAAGTACTTTATTGTGTATGTGCAGGGCTACCATGGAGTAACAAGGAACTAGCTCCCTTCTGATGCCTTCCCTTTTTCCCATTATGCTTGTTTGGCTTTTGACTCTTTAGAGGCCTTCTGCTTTTTTCCTCCTTCTCGACATCACTTCCTTCCTTTATGTCCCGGTTTTATGACTTTAATACCAGTTTCATCTTAACTCACTTTCCTGTTCAGTTTGTTTGTTTGTTTCCCGGTCCAACCAGGGTCAGACCATCTCCAAAGCCCCAGCCACGGCATCATGCTCTGTGAGCGCCACACAGCAGCGCATAGCATGTCCACCGGCCCCAGCACCTGTGTGCCCCGTGGCCGTGGCGCGCTGCCCAGCCCCCCGGACGCCTTCAGCACAGCCCAGGCCAGCCCCCCACCCACTCCACAGTCCTTCCCACCCCTCAGAATCCACTCCCGGCCACCTTTCTTTCAGCAGTCTCCTCTTCGCCAGCAGAGATCACAGGAACTAGCAGGAGGGGCTCCGCTTCCTGTCCTGGCACCGGAAACTGTATGTCCAGCCTCCAGTCTGTGTGCCACAGAACCCCTCTCTTCTCAGGTCTTCTGGAACATTCTTTCATCAACCATCCCCTTAGCTTTCAGTTTGTTCTCTACTGATTGCATCAGTCTGCAAACACATTCAACTGTCTCCCACAGAGCGTGCTCCATCTTTCCTAATATCGTCTGAATACACGCCTATTCTTTTTAACAATCACACACACACACACACCATGTGTCCACTGCATAGAACATACTTCTTGGTGGATCTTCCAAGGCCAGTTCCTCCTTTAGAACCAAGTTTTAAGTCACCTCTTCACAGAGCCTTTCCCTGACCAGCCGATCCAGGAAGCTGTCCTCTCCCTCCTTATCAGCTATCAGCCTTCTTCACTTCGGTCACATCCTTTACCCCGTGTTGTGATGAGAGATTCCCTTGTTCCCTTACCTGTCTATTTCCTGCTGCTTCCACTATCCTGAAACTTCATGAGGGCTGGGACCCATCTTTTAGGCTTTCAAAAAACATTTGTCGATTATAACCCCCAAGTGCCTCAACCATTTTTGCCTTACTCTTTTATTCTTTGTCTCCATTAGGTAGCCTGCTGGTTTTCAACACTGACTAAGTGAGAACTCCCTGAGGAGCTCTGAAAAAAATCCTGACGCCCAGGGCACTCCCCGGGGTGAGACTCTAGTCCCAGTTTCTGTTAATTTTGCAGGCAATTGTAAAAGCCAAGCCAGAGACCACAGACCTAAAATGTCTGCCTGACACATGGGTGAGGCTCGGCAAAGAAATGAATGAATGCGGACTTCCCTCAGGATCGAGTGGCTAAGACCTGGCACTCCCAGTGCAAGGGACCCAGGTTCGATCCCCAGTCAGGGAGCCGGATCCGACATGCTGCAGAGAAGATGGAAGATCCTGACTGTTGCAGAAGACCTGCACAGCCAAATAAATCCAGATAAATATTTTCTGAAAAGACATGAATGGATGAATGAACGATTCAAGGAATGGGATCATTGAGCTCCTGCTTATCTTGCAATCCGCCTCCCCTGGGTCCTCCTCACAGCGTCTCTTTATTTGGGCGTGCAAGGCAGACAAGCCCTGTACTCTCGTGGCTCTAAGCTTCAGCATAATATCAGCTCTACCAAGATCACCCACAGAGCATCTCAGGTGCCTGAGGCATTCCCACTGCTGGACCCCCAGGAAGCTCACCCACAGAGCATCTCAGGTGCCTGAGGCGTTCCCCGCTGCTGGACCCCCAGGAAGCTCACCCACAGAGCATCTCAGGTGCCTGAGGCGTTCCTGCTGCTGGACCCCCAGGAAGCTCTGGTTGGGCTTAGGGCCTTTTCTCTACCAGATCCCCCCAGTGTCCCCAGAGGGCTCACCCCGCTCCTTGCGTGCGTCCCTGTTAGAGTGGTCATGTTGCTGCCTGCAGCTGTGTCGTGACTCGTTTTGACTCGGAGATCGTTGCTGTGTTTATTTTTGTTCTGGGTTTTTTAACAGCCACATTGAGCTATAAATTACATAGCATACAATTCCTCAATTTAAATGGTACAAGTCATGGTTTTTAAGGTATTCATGGGGTTAATCATCACCACAATCAATTCTAGAACATGTTCTTCCCTCAAAAAAAAAGAACTTTGCAAGACATTGTAGCCATTAATCATCCATTAATGACTCCCCAATTTCGCAGTCCTAGATGACCCCCTAGATGACCAGTCTACTTCCTGTCTCTATAGATGGGCCTGTCTTCGACATTTCATGTAAATAGAATCATACAACACCCATTTGTGTGTGTGTGACTGTCACTTCCTTCTGCATCTGAAGACTCACTTGGCCACAGGACCCCTTTCACATTGAATCAGCGTGGCAGAACGTGGACTCTGTAGAGTGGTTTGCTCTGGAGAAGAAACCAGGGCAATATTTCTTAAACCATGTCACACAGCAACCTGGTAAATCATCTGAATTCCTGAGCTGGAGCAAGGAGACTCAGGCTTAGCTACCCCTGCCCTCACAGGAGGAAGGGGAGTGGGCAGACTCCAGGCGGGCTCCCCTGACCTCCTGTGCCATGAGGACCCGCACCGAGGACAGACTGCCTGCATCTACCTGAGCTCTGCGTGTGTTAGCTGTCACCTTCAGTCCCGGCTGTGCTCAGCTGTGTCCGACTCTTCGCAGCCCTGTGGGCTGTAGCCCGCCAGGCTCCTCCGTCCATGCAGTTCTCCAGGCAAGAACCATGGGTGGGTTGCCATCCCTCCTTCCGGGGATCTTCCCAACCCAGGAATGGAACCCTGGTCTCTTATGTCTCCTGAATTGGCAGACGGGTTCTCTACCGCTATCCCAGCTACCTCGCTTCTAAAAAGAGGATAGAAATAATCCTGGCTTATAAACAGCACATCGTAGGAACATAACAAAGATTAAATGAGAAGATATATTGCAAGTGCATAGCACAGCGCTTGGGAGATTATAAATGCCTGATAAATATTTATGATGTTGTAGTTGTTGCTGTCTGACCACAGCTGTTTTCATACTGTTTCTCTAAGTAAAATTTAATATGGAAAGAGGGTTCTGCTGCTTTACAAAAGTAATTAAAAATTTTTCTAGGAAAAATTATTCTAGGAAAGCTTCACACATCATGCGGAGATCCCCCGCCAGATGGTCATGTGCATTCTGCTTGATGAAAGTAGGGACGGTGGGGAGCAGAAGCTACCGTGAGTGGAAAGTTGTGGGGGGACGGGTGGGTGGAGATGGATTGGGCTCGGTTGTCGCCCCGCAGCATGTGGGATCTTAGTCCCCCAACTGGGGATCGAACCTGTGTGCCCTGCACAGAAGCGTGGGTTGTTAACCTCTGGCCCACCAGGGCCGTCCCTGACTTCCCCTGCTGTGAATGGCCTTTCCTGCACATCTAGCAAACCTCTGTCCAGATGCTGCGGGCCTGTCTCTTTCTTGCCTTCCTCCCATCTGTGATGGGACAGCCCGTGTACATGCCCGTGGGCCTGTGTCCAGTCATCACCTGTGCCGATGACTGAGAACAGCTGAAACACAAGGGCCTTTTTTTTTTTTTGAGTGTTTAATGGTTTTTTAAATTTTTTTTTACTTTTTAATTGAAGGATAACTGTTCTACAGAATTTTGTTGATTTATGCCAAACATCAACATGAATCAGCCATAGGTATACATATCTGTGTCTCCCATTAACAGCTCTGGGCTTAGCATACAAGGCTCATCCCTCCAATTTTCAGATATATATTGAGAACCTACTATGAGCTGACATTTCAAAATGCAAAGATTTCACAGAAGCCTGGGATTGTCACCCAGAAGAATCTTCAGACAAGGAAATGAGACCCAGAGAAGGGTGTCTCTCATCAAGTTTCTCTAGAACCTGAGAGGAAAACATTAGGGATTAGAGTCCAACTCTTCCTGACACCTTGCTCTTTCACAGCAGGGATTTTTCTCCCTTCGGTTAAAATAGCAGGTTTTCCAAGTGTCCATGTTGATCCCAGATTCCCTCACTGTCTCCTCCCCCATTCTTGCCCCAGCAACCATAAGTTCATCCTCTAAGTCAGATATGTACACTCTGCTGGATTTAGCATGGATAACCAACAAGGTCCTCCACAGGGAACTCCACTCAGCTTCATGTGGCAGCCTGGGTGGGAGGGGAGTGTAGAGGGTGAATGGAAAGATGGATTTGTGTGGCCAAGTCCCTTCTCTGTCTCCTGCTGTCACAGCACTGTTAGTCAGTCATACTCCAATATAAAATAAAAACTTTTCAAAAAATTAATAAAAGCCAAGAGACCTAAAAAAATAAAACAACAGATTTTTGAACATAGTTAGAAAACTAGAAAAAACATGAATGATTATTTTGTTCATTACTGGTTTTTCCAGATCAAACGCTAGCCCTCAAGCACCGCTGAGTTGGAGCCAGAGGACCGGAACACAGACCAAGACCAATCCGCAGGGCGGCTGATCCCATCACTGTCTGACTCCCTGTCCGCCTCACACCCACCCTGCATGCTCACGTTTCACCCACGCCAGGCCAACCAAGGGCCTGTAAAAGTTTAACTTTGTGCGATTGCACAACCGTGAAAGCTCAAGCTGATTTTCAGGGTAATGAAGAGATTCTCCAGTTGCCTCATGAAAAAGTTTCCAGGGAGGACAAACAGCGCAAGTTGTCGCAGACATCGGCGTCCTCGGTGTGGGTGAGGTGACGACGCCTCAAGAGGCCGAAGGGGACGCGCGTTTGGGCCGCGTGGGGCCTCGCAGGGCCTTGTGCTGTTTCCCTGTCTGCTCCTTTGCTGAGCTTCTATCCTGAAGAATCCTTCTGGAGGGGGTAAATATGTTTGTCACTTTGTTGGGTTTTTTAAATTAATTTTTATTGCAATTGTTTTACAATGTCGTGTTAGTCTCTGCTGATGCTGCTAAGTCGCTTCAGTCGTGTCCAACTCTGTGCGACCCCGTAGACGGCAGCCCACCAGGCTCCCCCGTCCCTGGGATTCTCCAGGCAAGAACACTGGAGTGGGCTGCCATGTCCTTCTCAGGACTCTATGATGTGCTGTTTCACAACAGTGCTGCTAGATAGGTTTTACTGTTCCTGTTACAGAAGAGACACCAACCAGCAAGGGGGATATCCCTGGAAACCAAATGTGTCTGCCTAGGACCTCCAAGTTGTGCAATTTTTTTTTCAATTTTTATTATTCATTTATTTACTTGAAGTATGGTTGATTTTACAATGTTGTGTGAGTTTCAGGCGTGCTGCACAATGATTCAGATATATATATATATATAAGTTCTTATATATATATTATCATATATATATTACTTTTTCAGATCTAGAGACACATACTGACTGAAAATGAAGTATTCTGAGCAAATATAAAACAAAAGGAAGCTGGAGTAGCAATACATACATCAGACAAAATAGACTTTAAAGTAGACTGTTACAAGAGACAAAGAAGGTCACTACATAATGATCAATGGATCAATCCAAGAAGATATAACATTCTTAAATATTTATATATCACCCAACATAGGAGCACCTCAATACGTAAGGCAAAAGTTAACAGATAGGATGTCATGGTCCTCTGACTCTTACATCCATTCTCTTTCTAATGTACATGCACTGGCATCAACTTTTGCCTCTTAACCTTGGAATAGGTGGCTGCCTGCTGAATGGAATTTAATGAATGGTTCAAACAGTAAGTCACTCAGTCGTGTCTGACTCTTTGTGACCCCATGGACCCTAGTCTTCCAGGCTCCTCTGTCCATGTAANTTGACCCTTTGGAAAAGATCCTGATGCTGGGAAAGACTGAGGGCAGGAGAAGAGGATGACAGAGGATGAGATGGTCAGATGGCATCACCGACTCAATGGACAAACTCAGAAACCCACAGGAACATCCAGGCAAGAGATGGTGACAGTCTAGACCTGAATCATGGCAACGGAGATGAGGAAGCAAATTTTTTTTAATTGCAGAGGAAAAATCACATGGACTTGATTAAATATGGTTATAAGGGAGGGAGAAGAATCAGAAAAGGTCCCATGATTTCTAGCTGCAGCAACTGGGTCACTGGCAGTGTCATAATCTGAGCTCATAACTATGAAGATAGTGAGTTAACTTTAAGATGTATTCAGTTTAAGATATGGACTTTCCTAAGAAAAGTAGGACTTACCTCTGTATACAGTTTTGGTCATACCTCATACATAATAGGTGCTTAAAATGCTTCTTGAATGGAACCAAAGCTGTAGTACATCCTACTTGTAGAATTTTCGATATCTATTTTCAACGGTCTTTTGTCAGATTCCATACAGACTCATCCAACCATACTGCTCTCATGTCATCCATATGACAAGCTAAGAAATTTCAACCCCCTGGAAACTATGACTAAGAAATTTTACTGCAATAATAATTTTCACTAAGTGGTGGAAGGAGTCAGGGACAAGGGGTAGTTACAAGAGCAACCACAAATCAGTCCAGGCCCACACTTGGCTTTCCATTTCCCTACAAATTTCAGAGAAGCCATAAAAGACTCCAGTGCAATCTGGTTGGTTGATTAGAAACATGTGAAGGAACCGCAACCAGGCACGTGTTTCGCATTTCCTACTCCAGAGCTTGCCAAGTATTCATCATCGTCCTCTCCGTGTTATTCCAGAAAGCGTCACCACTCCAGCTGGCCTTTTGGAAGGACAGGGCTGGGGTCAGGGGCGCATCCACAACACGGGCTCCCCTGGAGAGGAGAGACGGAGAGGAGGAGAGGGGGGCTGCCCTCACCCCCAGCTCCTCAGCCCTGCTCCCCTCCTGCCCCTCAGCAGGCCCTGCTCCCCTCGATGGCAGGAGAGAACGCGGAGCTTGGAGACGCGCCCCCTCGAGGGAGAACACGGCTGCTTCAGTCTCAGACTCTCCCGCCCGGAAAGCAGATTCCAGAACCCAGCAGGAACAGGGGCGACCAGACAGTCCCAAGTTTGACACCGAACTCCACCACCCGTCTCAGGTAATTTACTTAATCTCTCTGAGCCTTGAAAGTGCTAGCTGCTCAGTCGTGTCCAACCCTGTGCGCCCCCATGGAGCCCGCCAGGCTCCTCTGTCCATGGGACTTTCCAGGCAGGAATACTGGGGTGGGTTGCCAAGCCCTTCTCCAGGGGGTCTTCCCGACCCAGGGATCAAACCTGGTCTCCTGCATCGCAGGCAGATTCTTCACCATCTGAGTCTCTGAGCCTTAGATTTCTGCATTTCCAAAATGAGGATAAGATGACTTGCTTTGAAAGGTAAAGAATGAAAGAGGTAACTCGTGTAAAACACACACATGCGTGTGACATTATCACATGTGCATATGTGGAAACTCATTGCGTACATGCGTGTGACATTACACCCCTGTCTGGTCCCTTCCTGCCCTTCCTCTGGGGGGTGACCTGCCCGAGCCAGTGTGGAGCCCAGACTGTCGTCAGCAGAGCCCCTCCCCACCCTAACCCTCTGACGTCTGGTGGGAACCGGTCTGGTGGTCAGCTGCTCTGGAGAGGGCTCAGGGCTCTAGTCCTCGTGGGGCCCACGGAGCAGATGGGATGAGGACATACCTGGCCTCCCTCAGATGAAAGTCCTACCAGAGCAAAGATGACAGAAAAGCTTATTTTGCCTGAAAGTGTCAGATCAGAGCCTTAATGGATGAGGAACAATTTTCCAGGAAGGAATCAGAGACATTCATGCAAAAAACATAAAGAAATAAAGACAGTGACGTGATGATGTGCAGAAGAAACCATAAGTATGGCTATGGTAGATATGGCTGAAGGACCAGCGATATCAGGGGAGGGTTAAGTTCAGTCGCTCAGTCGTGTCCGACTCTGTGACCCCATGGACTGCAGCATGCCAGGCCTTCCTGTCCATCACCAACTCCCAGAGCTTGCTCAAACTTATGTCCATAGAGTTGGTGATGTCATCCAACCATCTCATCCTCTGTCATCCCCTTCTCCTCCTGCCCTCAATCTTTCCCAGTATCAGGGTCTTTTCCAATGAGTCAGCTCTTCACATCAGGTGGCCAAAGTATTGGAGTTTCAGCTTCAACATCAGTCCTTCCAATAAACACCCAGGACTGATCTCCTTTAGGATGGACAGGCTGGATCTCCTTGCAGTCCAAGGGAAGTGAAGACATCTTAAAAAGACCAGCATCATTTCATTTGGAAACATCCATCAAAACTGCAAAGAAAGGGACTTCCCTGGTGGTACAGAGGATGGGAATCCGGCCGCCAACACAGGAGCCACAGGCTCCACCGCTGGTCCAGGGAGATTCCTCACGGTGAGGAGCAACTAAGCCTCGAGCCACAGCTGAGCTCCCGCGCACCTGCTGACGCGCCTCAGTCCCGTCTGAGTCTTGGCGACTCCACGGATCATGGCCTGCCAGGCTCCTCTGTCCGTGGGCTTCTCCAGGCAAGAACACGGGAGTGGGGTGCCATGCCCTCCCCCAGGGGATCTTCCCAACCCAGGGGTCAAGCCCACTTCTCATGGCTCCTGTGATCTTCACTGAGCTGCAATTACTGAAGCGGGGCACCAGGAGCCCCACTCTGCAACGAGAGAAGCCCCCGTCCCCGCAACTGGAGAAAGCCCGTGTGCGACAAGGAAGACTCAGAGCAACCAAAAGGAATAATTAAAAAACGTAAGAAGAAATGAGACGAGCTTTCCATCCTTCTCTCTCTTTTTAAAAGAAGACTACAAAGAAAGAAGTCTGGCATCTTTAGTCTGTAAAATAGGAAAGCTGGGTTTGGGAGAATCCAAGATGAGTTCCCAATTCCTAGAGCACCACCCTTTCAGAAGGATTCAATGAAGGTAAGGAAAAAATACCCTGAAGACAATTACAAGACAGCAGGTCAGAAGATCTCACAGCTCATTTAGTCAAAATGCGATGTTCATTAGAAACACCAGTGCAAGCTTTCTAAAAACATTTTTATACAGCTATCTATTTATTCACTCATTTTTTGACCAAGAGAAATGATGGGAGACAGGGTGAGCAAGGTCACCTAGGTCACTCTGCCAGGCGGTTACTGTGCCAGGTGGCGCTTCTGGACCTAATCCTGTAAGTCAGGCAGGGTCATTAAAGAGATTTGAAATTTCCCCTTTTGAATTTGATTGCATTTTGTATTTAGCTTTTTTAATTCTCATTATGAAAGCCACATACGTATTTTTTTTAATATTCAAAAGGATATAATAAAAGATGAATTCTTCTCTTTATCCCAGACCACTGGGTTAACCCCGCTCCTGAGTTAAATCTTTATTCTCTCTTCTTCCAAAAATTTTCCATATAAACATTCTTATAAGTCCTCCTGTGGATGAATATTTATATACTGCTCTCTGTACGTGCTTCTTTCTCGATTTACAATGAATCACAGAGATCTTTCTGTTTCAGCATATGCAATTTTACCTCCTTTAAAAAAAATTAGCTGTATTGTATCCCACGCATTAGATTGTTGCATCATCTTTTATTGAAATAATTCTCAGTGTGTAAATATTTAAGTTCTCAATTGTTTATTTTTACAAACAAAGTTGCAATCCGTCCTTGTACTTCTATCTATGCAAATATATGGGAGTATTCAGGTAAAATAAATGACTAAAAGCCAACTGCTGGGTCAAAGGGTATGTGCTTTTAAGCTCTGAGCGCTGTTTTCACTTTGCCCATTGGAAAGAGGGACCTCCTTAGGCTCCCACCAGAGCATGACTGGGTGTCTCCACATAGCCTTGACTTTAGTGTGGTCAGACTTCTTACTCTTGCCCGACCTGATAAGTTAACCGTTTTTTAATTTCCTTGGTTTTACTTACATTTCTTTAACTGAGTGAAGATGAGCAAGCACTCTTATGTTTATAAACCATTTGTACTTCTTTTCCTGTGACAATTTTTTATTTTCCTTGCCAAACTCTCTATTAGTTTGTGGTCTTTTCCTTGCTGCACTGGCCGGCATGGCGGGGCGGGGGGTGAGCGAGTGAAGCTCCATCTGTGTGGCAGCCGCCCCCCACCACTCGCATTCCGCCCTCAGCCCCTCCAGTCAGACCAGCGTCCTGCTCCCCCACTCAGGCCTGTCCGACTCTGTGACCCCACGGACTGTAGCCCACCAGGCTCCTCTGTCCGTGGGAGCCTCCAGCCAAGAATACTGGGGTGGTTGCCATGCCCTCCTGCAGGGGATCTTCCCAACCTTCATCTCCTACGTTGGCAGGCAGACTTTACCGCTGAGCCACTGGGGGAGCCCATAAATAAATAAATATTAAAACAAACAAGAATTGTAAAGGCAGGAAGAAAACAGGAGACAGTGGCATTGTGAAAACCACAGGAGAGAAAGGGTGCAGAGTCAGCAGTGTCCAGTGCTGACAAGGGTTATAAACAAACACCAAATAAAGCTGTCCGTTGAGTTTGGCAACTGCTGACGGCGATCTGGGGAGGAAGGAAGGAGAGTAGGGGGAAGATGGCAAACTAATAATGAGTGTCTGATACACCCAGGCGACAACTAGTGCTTTGCATATATCATTCCAGTTAATCTTTACAAAAATCCCCCAAAAGAGGAAACAGACGCTAACAGACATTAAGTAAATCTTGCGCCATCACGGAGAAGCCCAGGAGACAGCTAGGTTTACGCGTGAATCTGTCCTGCATCCAAAGCACCGTTCTGTTTCCACTATATTAATTTCCAGGTCAGATTAGAAGCAACTTAACAAATGCCGGTAAACTAAAAAAATGTAATATGTTTCAGATCATAGTTTCCTAGTGACTTCTCAGAAAACACGCTCGATTCCTTTTACAAACTCTGACTGTCTTGCAAAATGTGATCACTGTCCCCAGGACTGTGTCGGTGTAACATGGCTCTATCGGCTCCTCTCGTAAATCGGCCAGGCAGCATGAACCTCATTCCCGGCCTCGGTAACCGTCCTGGAAAGGGTAACAAACTAGCAGAGGTCAGAGTTAGTGCGTAAGAAAGGCGATTATGCAAATATCTTTATATGTTTTCCCTGGTCATTGTTTAAAAAAATTAATTGGACGGTAATTATTTTACAGTGTTGTATTGATTTCGGCTGTACAATAATGTGAATCAGTCATAACTACATAAATGAACTGGAGGATAACTGCTTTACCGCGTCGTGTTGATTTCTGCTATATGACAATGTGAACAAGCCCTAAGTATACCTGCGTCCCCTCCCACTCACCCCCTTCCCACCCCTTTAGGTCGTCACAAAGCCGTGGGCTGGGCTCCCTGCATTTTGTCTGTATGAGCAAGCCTTTTCAGATTCTACAAATAAGTGAATCTTATGCAGTGCTTGTTTTCCTCCGACTGATCGATTCTGCTGTTGCTGTTCAGCCACTCAGTCTAGGCCAACTCTCTGCAACCCCAGGGACTAAAGCACGCCAGGCTGCCCTGTCCATCACCAACTCCCTGAGCTTAGTCAGACTCATCCATCGAATTGGTATGCCATCCAACCATCTCATCCTCTGTCATCCCCGTCTCCTCCTGCCCTCAATCTTTCCCAGCATCAGGGTCTTTTCAAATGAGTCAGGTCTTCACATCAGGTGGCCAAAGTATTGGAGCTTCAGCTTCAGCATCAGTCCTTCCAGTTGCATAACACCCTCAAGTTTGCCATGGAATGTTATTCAGCCATGAAAAGGAAAGAAATTCTGCCATGTGCAACAACTTAGGTGTTCTTGAATAGAAACATCTCCGATCTGAGTTCTGTATGCATTCTCATTCCCAGTTAAATTGCACACAGGTGAATATGCAAACTTTCTTGATCCAAGAGCGCCTGTTATCATCGCTCCTTCTCTGTGCATCAGCTCTTGGCTTGGATTCTTCTTTCTCACAAGGCACCAGCGCTGTCCAGCGCTCCATGCAGTGCCTGCCACATAGTGAGCACTCAGTGAAGATTTGTTCCACTGAGGTGCTTTTTCCAGGCCCAGGTCCCTGCAGGTGGCTTTATAACCTATTTGCCTCTGTTAAAAAGAGCCTAAAAACACCAGAGCTGGGGTATGTAACTGGTGCTCAACTTGACTGTTCAACTAATTTGATACCAACCAAGCAACCAATGAAATTGGCTAGAACAGGTACCAGCAACTTTACAGTTTTCCTCAATATGGGAAAAAGATATGTTTAATAAACATATTTATAAGGGGAACATGGTTAAAGAATCTGGAATCCCTGTGTGCCATTTCCTGTCCGGGGCATCTGGCCGGCAAACACAGAGAATCCTACACGTAAAGACATTTCCCGTGGGGCTACAGGACCGAGACCCATGTATGTAGAATATTCTCAGCAATGATTCCCCAGACCAACTCAATTAGAAGGAAAAATAGCCCTTGTTTGGGCACTCTGGTGACTGAAGCTTATAAGGTATGCATCCCCCAGCTGATAGATGGTATATCTTTTACTAGACATGTTTTGGGGTATATATTTTCTCAACAAGGAAAGTAGTAAGAAAAAAGTAACAATTAACACCATCATTTATTGCACATTGCACGTGCGCCAGGACTGTGGCTTACTGTGGCTTACTTCTTCCAACAATCCTATGAGTTATGCTCCTTAATCTGGCAGAGCCAGAATACAATCAGATCTGTTTATTATTGATTCTACGGTCTTAAACATAAGACTAGAGATCACTGTCTTTCTCCTAAATAGAAAAAGAAAAAAAAAAAAAACCGAAATATTGCAGTGAAACATCTCTCTTTAGAGCTCAGGGTTCTGTCATATTCTGCCAGCTTTCTCCTTGATCTTCCTTCTCCTCCAGTAATTTGAATCCCTGATATTTAATTGAATTCTTATGGTCTTCTAGAAAAAAACTACAGTTCCCATCTTCCTTTGCAGTTAGCTATGGCCATGACTAAATTTTGACTAACGCCATACAAGCAGAAATGGGGTATGCAATTTCTTGGAAGTATTCTCAAAAAGAAGGGGGCAAATCATTCTTCATCACTGCCTTCCAGTCTGCTGGCTAGAATTTATGTCATCACTATAGTTCCAGCAGCCGTTTTGGAATGGGAGCCGTAAGCAGCAGTGTGCTAAGAAAGGCATCTAGACCAGCTGCAGCGTGGAGGGCTGGCTTCCACCTACAGACCCCTTGAGTGCGGCGTGAAAACATGTCTCTACTTGTCTAAGCTACTGCCCTCTATTTCCTGTTTCCCACAGTTGGGTCTAGATGTCTCGTGCCATTTATGTATTATGAAATCTTTCCCGTACTGTTGTTACACATGTTCAATATTAAGTTCATCTAGTTAAACCGGTATTGGGCATGCTAAATACTGTAGGTAGAGATGACCAAAAGCGGACTTCCCTGGTCATCCAGGGGTTAGGACTCCACACTTCTGATATGGGGTGCAGGTTCAATCCCTGGTCAGGGAACTAGGATCCCACATGCCAGCTAGTGTGGCCAAAATTTTTTTTTAAAAAGAAAAACAAGAAATGACTAAGATTCAGTGTTACTTCAAGGACGCTTCCATTTAGAAGAGGGGAGGAGGGACTTCCCCGGTGGTCCATGGTCAAGACTGAGCTTCCAGGGCAGGGGGTGTGGTTCAATCCCTGGTCAGGAAACTTAGACCCCACAGGCTCTGCGTGCAGCCAAAAAGGTATTCAGCAAAGACAAAGGAAGACAAGGAGAGGAGACATGCCCCTGAGACTAAAGCAGATGGAAAACCTGGCCTGTGAGTAGAAAGGTTTTATGCANGAGGAGACAAGCCCCTGAGACTAAAGCAGATGGAAAACCTGGCCTGTGAGTAGAAAGGTTTTATGCATACTGTATTTTTGGGTATATTTTATAATGTTTGTATCTAGTTCCCTGCATGGATGAGGGAGAAAGCACAGAACGAGTGCTTTTTTCTGGGGCTTTTTTGCTTTTTACCCTGGCATCCCGCAGGTACTCAACAGTTTGACCAGTTGATAAATACAGTCTTCAGTTGATCCACTGCACTGAAGGAAATGTGGGACTTTGGCTGGTGTCTTATTGGATCTCTAAGCTCCATCCCTTCATCCTTCTGTGCAGAAGGAAGGCAAAGATTCCAGACGAGGAGCCCCAAGCCCCACGCTCCCTTCTCCTGGGAGAGAGAGAGGCAGGGCTCTGTTTCTCTCTGCGCACAGCACACTTACAGGCTGTCCTGAGATCGTGGTGGAGTGCTCCCAGGGGCCTGAAAATACAGATGTCGGCTCTGGATCCAGCTCCCCTCAGTTTCCCGTGCCCTCAGTTTCCTGGGCCATAAGTCCCTTAATCAACAACAATGAATTAATCAATTATAACGAGAAGATTTGATTCATATAAGATGTATTATTTTAAAATAGCCCCAATCTAATATTGCATGCAAACAATTAGAATCTTTTTTAAGTTACCATCCTGTGATAATTAAAGAATTGGCTCAGAGGCGGAATTTTGCATTATCTTTCATCCTTTTGCACAGGGTCTTATCTGTCATGCCTAAGGTCATAAATGAAAAGGACCTCTCTGAGAACAGAAGTGCCTTTAGCGAGCATGGCGGACCCTGGTGATAAGCACAGCCAACACGCTTAACGTCATGTTGTTCCCCTTGATCCCGAGTCAAATGTTTCCTTTTATCCGAGTCCAAACAATTTGTCTATGTCCACTGGAAGACAGCGATTCAGCACCATCCATCCCCTCTTTTAACATGCTTGAAATCCTCTTTATGGTAAATCTCTGCCTAAAGTCAGCAAAGTATCGTGGTTTTTCCCCTTTTAGAGCTTGAACAATGTGTACAGATTCCCAGAATAAGACATTCTATGTCAACTCTAGGCTGTAACTAAGGGCTTAGTAAACACAACAGGCTGGTTAACAGAGTTTAGTGCCCCAAAATGTAAAAATCACTGTCTTTATCAAACAATGAGACCTTGAATGAATGGAAAGTTTTAAGGTTTTGGATTCTTCAAGCTGGTTTTCATTTTGGTAGAAGAACTTGTATTTGTTTACCTATTAAAGGTAAACTTTAATAAAATAAACACCCCAAAAATAAACTTCTCCCCTTCCTGAATTGAGTCGAATGTTTGAAACGTCACATTATGGGCTGAATTTTGTCCCCTTAAAATTCACATGTTCAAGTCCTAAGCCCTCGGGCCTCAGAATGTGACTGTATTTGGAGATGGGGCCTTAAAGGAGGTGACAAAGGTCAGACGAGGACAGATGTGTGGGCCCCGATCCAACATGACTGGTGTCATCGGAAGAACAGGTCAGGACACAGGCCACACACAGAGGGAATTTCATGTGGAAAGAGAGAGAGAAGGTGGCCATCTGCAAGCCAAGGAGGAAGGCCTGCTGAGAGTCAGCCCTCTGCCACACTGATCCTGCACTTCCAGCCTCTAAAACGGTGGGAAACTAAAGTTCTGCGGTTCAAGCTACTGAGTCTTCGGTGCTTTGTTACGGCAGTGGTAATAAACTAACACACTTTGAATGTTCTGACTCAGATTTACAGGAATGGTGAGTCTCCAGAGTCTCTCAGATCTTAGCACAACGCCTTGGACATTATAAATACCCCATTTGTGTTTGTCAAATGAATGAATGAATTTAAAAATGGAACCACCACTCACCTAGACTTCCCGTGCTTAAATCTCTGTGCAGTGATACCTGGAAATGAAAAAACTGGCCTGTTCTCTTATTCTCCCCTTTTCCCCCTCATTCTTAGGCCCGCATTTCCATCTGGGTTTTATTCAGTCTGTGATGAGAACCAACGCTTCCACTGTATTGTTTTCATACATGTTCTGGATTCGTCTAGAATTAGATGGTGAAGGACAGGGAAGCCTGGCATGCTGCAGCCCATGGGGTCGCAAAGAGTCAGACACGGCTCAGTGACTGAACAAACAGCAATGATACCCACAAGTCATGACATGACCTGAGCCCCCTGCATGCAGTCTTACACGATGTTGGAATAGTGGAGGAAGCTTAAGAATCGATATCCAAGCTCCAAGGGAATGAATCCTTGGATTAGTTCCAAGGGAACTAGTTTCGGGGACTGGCAGGACAGGAAAAAATCACCTAGTTATCTGGGGCTGTATTCCGCCATCCCATTACTTCTCTTTAGACTTCACTGAGCTGAAAATTCACTGGCCTCCT